GATTCCCACCCATGAAGTCAGAACAACACATTTAGGCAAGAAAAAAACCTCTTAATGAGAACCAAATTGAGCAGGGGGGTGGGGGGGGGAGGCAGAGCGGGGGAAGGGCTGGGCCGCAGCTGGGACACAAGCCCCGGCTCCCAGCCGACAGATGGGAATGTGGCGGTCCCTCCCCGGTCCTCAGGGGTATCGGAAGATTAATTAGTGACTGCCTGGAAAGTGCTAGATGGAAGCCGAAATGCCTGTCCCCGCTGAGTTTCTGAGCTGTAAATAAGCAGTTTTCTCAATCACAGCCGAAATAGCAATGTTGTCCTTTTTATCTGACTCAGATCCCCGCAGGCCCCGTCTGCCCCCCACCCCCCAGCAGGCCCTGGGTGGTTCCAGAACCCGCCCCACACCCAAGGCTTCGCTCACCACCCAGCGGCTTCCCAGGTCGGCCCAGAGGCGGGGCCTGAGCTCCGTCGCCCCCTCTCAGCTCCAGGACCCCCCCCCACCCGCCCCCCTGCCCTGGCCTCAGCCCCCTCCATGGGCCCAGGCACCCAGCCTCACGCTGGCGCTTTCTGGCAGGGGTCGGGGGACACGATCAAACACCCCCAGGCCCCCAGCAGGGGAAGCCCCAGGCTTCACAAGCCTGTCAAAGGCCCGGGAGGCAGCTGGGGGCCAGAGAAACGTTCGGAGGGAGGCTCAGAGTCTCCGACAGCGGCCACCAGCGGGCTGTGTGGCTCGGGGCCAAGTGCAGCCCTCTCTGGGCCTCCGCTCCTTCACTGGAGTGTGGAGTGTCCTTCCCAGCACTGGACAGTGAGTCCCGGGGGCAGCCGGCCGGGGTCACCCAGAGTTCAGCATGGGGTTGGGGTGGGGCGAGCGGACGGCCGCGGGGTCCTCCCTCCGTGAACCCCAGGAACAAGATAAGGGGGCCGGCAGGGCGCCGCCGCCACCAACGGCCAACTCCCTCCCTCGCGCTCCTTCAACAAATATTTATTAAGCTGGGCTCCGGAGCCAAACGGCCAGCCGTCACCGCCTGGCCGCGCTGCTGCCTGTCCGGGTGACCGCAAGCCCCCCGGGCCTCAGTGTCTCTGGCTGCTGAGTGGGACCAAGTGAACACGGCGTCCGGAACCGGGCAGGCGCCGTGGAGGAGGCGGCTCCACCGCCGCCGCCTCCCCGTTCTGGTTATTATGGCTGTTCCTGGGCTGGCGCTGGGCCGGGCGTGCAGGAAGCTCACCGTCAGTCGCCTCCTGCATGGAGCTGGCAACCGGGTGCAGTTCAGGAAAGGGGGTAACTGGGCGCGCGCGGGCACACCGAACCGGAAGTCTGAGCACACGGAACCAGTTTTCCAAGAAGCATTAGAGAGCCCCCCCCCATCCATCTGCCAGTCCCTGGCTCCCTTCCCACGGATACCACCCCTGACCTCTGCTAGCGAAGACGCATGCAGAGGGCAGATACCGTGTCATGGGGTCCGGGGGTCTGGCCCAAAGATGTGAGTTCAAGTCCCCGTTCAACCACTAAGGAGCCCTGTGATTTTCTGCGAATAATTCCACCTTCTCAATAATAATTTGGAGGGCACCTGGCTGGCTCAGTCGGTGGCGCGAGCAGGTGACTCTCGATCTCGGAGTTGTGAGTTCAAGCCCTATGCTGGGCACAGAGTAATAGTTGCGAGGGGGGGAGCGCCTGGGCGGCTCAGTCGGTTATGCGTCTGACCCTTGATTTTGGCTCAGGTCATGATCTCCCAGCTCGTGGGTTCAATCCCCCACGTCGGGCTCTGTGCTGACAGCTCACGCGTAAGCGCGCGCGCTCTCTCTCTCAAAAATAAATAAACTTTAGAAATACGTGGTAATAGTCTTTATTACAGCTCTCACTTGCTAAGTGTTAACTCCATCGCAGGCACTGTCCTCGGTGCCCTGTAAAACCTTACACGTTTAATCCCTTATACCAGATGTCAGCAAACTTTCTCTGCTAAGGGCCAGATAATAAATATTTGAGGCTCGGCCAGCCTGTTGCCACTGCTCAGCACTGCTGCTGCTGCACAGAGGCTGCCCCGGACAATACATATAAGGGCAGGACAATAAAACTTTATTTACACACACAAGCCGCGGGCCACAGATCAGCAACCCCTGCCTCACACTGATACTGACATAGATACCATTCTGGATCCCATTTCACAAATGGGAAAATCGAGGCCCAGAGAGCTCAAAGTCCTCTGCCCGAGGTGGCAGCCTCGAAGAGGCAGAGGCTGCAAACGTGGGCTGCCCAGCCTCAGTCCCGTCACGGGTCAGACAGGAGTGGCGGTCTGTGAACTGTCCCGGGCGGGGGCTGGAAAGGCAGGTTCTGGGCCCTGGCGCTCCGCTCTTGCAGAACAGAGCTAGTTCCTGCGGGCCCCAGAGCACTGGCACCAGGCCTCTGCTCTAAGGGGTGCGGCTAAGCCCCTCCTTCCTGGGCCAGGGTGGTGGGCAGTGGCCAGTTTCACATCCCAGCCCCGTCACTTCCAAGCAGGCCCAATCACTAGCTGCTGGGAGCCTCACTTTCCCCATCTGTGAAACGGGCAGACACCAGCGCCTAACACAGAGGTGAGAGTGAGACGCACAGGAGAGATCGCTGCAAAGCACTCCCGGGGGGGAGGGGGTGTGTGTGACGGTGGTCATGACAACTAGGCCATTTCTTTTACTATTACCTCGACGACTCTGAGCTGACGGAAGCCCAGAGAAGCAAAACCATGTGCCCATGGTTCTTCCCGCTTACACGTCCTAATACCAAAATTGTAAAGTACAAAACCCTAGTAGGGGAATTTAAAAAGAGAAAACTGAAAGAGAGAGAAAACTCTAGTAGGTATGACAAACCTCCCTCCACAGGCTGAGAGGGACTCGAGCCCTGACCTCCCTGGGGGTCCAGACCTGCCTCCTCCCCCCTCCAGCCCCCCAGGGCTGTAACACCAGCCAGGACTGATTTTCCTTAATTGCTCCGACTTTCCTAGCCTGACACTTCCTCCTTTTCTTTCCGAGGCTCTGAGAGTAAATAGAAAAATCGGTCACCTGATGAATAACTACATGCCAGCAGCCACCCAATGGCAGGTGAAGTAGGGTGTGGATTACAAACACCTGTGCTTTTAAAGACGCCCTGTACTTCCCAAGATTCATCCTTGCCACACGCGTGTACCAGTGTCTATGAGGAGCGGGCGGGGGTGGGGCGGGAAGAGCCGTCCCTGCTTTCCCGCAGCTCTCCGTGCAGGGGGGAGGCCAACCGAAGCGCAGCTACAGCAGGCGTGCTCGGCTACAGCTCTCCCTCCAGGAGCCCTGAGGCATCTGCCCCGCGCCCGCTCCGCTTTCTGGTATCTTCCGAGGGGGGCTTGGGGGTGGACCCGGCGATGAGCGCCACCCCCACCCCCGCCAGCCCTGTGCTGGTCCTTCTAGAACCCTTTTGCAAAGTGGGGGGTTCCTGGTGCTCATTTGCATCAGATCCGTGAAGGGCCGTGTAGACGGAAGGCAAGGGCTGGACTTGCATTTCAGGAAAAAGACCTCAAAAATAGGGCGCAGACCCTGAAAAACAGTCTCCCTCCCAAAGCGCGTAGACCGTAAGCGTGAGATGCAGACCCTGTCAGTTTCTGGGAAGGGCTGGGGCCCTAAAATAGCCACAGAGAAACTCAGAAAGAGTAACTGTACAGATTTCACCCAGAACCCATCAGTCTTCTACTTCTTTTTTTAAAGTCTGTGGGACACTTGGACGGCGACCTCTTCCCTTGACCCCGTTCAGGCCATTCTCCCCCCCCCCCCCCCGGGACTCGGGGAGTTCGGCGGGGAGCCTCAGCCAAAGTGACAGGGGCTCCTGAACACAGTGAAAACACCCAGCACCCAGCCACCTGCACCTTCGCCAGCAAAACAGTGCAGAAACCACCGGGTGCGGCCAGCGCCTTCTGCAGAATTTGAGAAGCCCCCACATGAGCCCAGGAACTTCCCCTCCTCCCTACAGCACCCCGCATCTGCCCTCCCCCAGACCCACGGTGGCCCCAACTTCCAGGGGCACCGAGCGAACTCCCCGAGAAGATGAAACTCTCAAAGGAAACAAGAGAAAATAAAAACAGCTTGTTCCTAGTACAAGCGGTCACACGCCGCCCTGCCTTCCTGACCTGCGCGCCAGGGGCCCAGGGGCAGGCCTAGTCAGTTGTTCCTGACCCCAGGGGCCCTGGGAGGGGGTGACAGCGAGGGCCCTGGGGTCACCAAGCCTCCCGTCTCCCTCCCCAGGGAGCCCCGGTTTCCCAGCTCCCCCTTCGCCTACGTGTAATTATTTTCAAGGTTTCAAAGTCCAAATAAGGTGAACGCAAGAGGGGCTCCCCAAACCTCCGGCTGTCACCCCCTACCGCACCCCCGCCCCTCCAGCCCGGGTTGCAAGCTCCGCTTGCCCCGAAACAGAAAGTTACAGGGCAGGCTGCTGTCAGCGCGCAGGAAGGTTAGGGAAACAGGAAGCCACGCCAACCACCCTCCGGAGCTTCCCCGGCCCCCTCCTCCGACCTCGGCAGGAACAAAACCTTCCAGGGAAACCCGGGCAGGAAGGGGGGCGGGGGGCAGGCGCGCCCGGCTCGCGCAGCTGGAGGCAGAGGGAACGCAGCCCGGGGCTGGGGGCGAGGAGGGGGGGCGCCTGCAGCGAAGTAACTTCACACCCGGCGCTCCATTCGCCGCGGAGGGCAGCGCGCCCCGGCCGCCGGCAGCGCCGCCGGCTCCGGGCAGACAAAAGGAGCGAGACGCGCAACCCCCGGCGGCGGCGCGGTGGGGGCGGCGGGCCGGGTGGGCGCTCCCCGCCGCACGTAGCGCACACAGCGCCGGCTGGACCGCGGCGGGAGCGGCCGCGCGCGCGCGCGCCCGCGGTAGGCGGAGGGGGGGGTCGTTCGGCTGACCCACCGCCCCGACCCAGGCTGCGGGTCTGGGGGGTCTGGAGGGTCGAGGGGGGGGGGGGGGGGGGGGGTCCGGGACGCGCCGGCGCCGCGCGGGACCCGGGGAGGCGCGCAGCTCGCTTACCTGGTAAGTAATACAGAGGCGGCTTCAATCCAAACATGATTCAAATTAGAATTCCATAGTGGCAGAGAGGGGATGAAGACGGGGGGGGAAATTCTTTAAACCCAGCGATGAGACCGAAAGCGCCGTCCAGGCCCAGGCGCCTAAAAATGTCCAAAACAATAAAATAAAGACAGAAGAGCGAGCCCGAGAGCGCCGGAGAAAAATGTCTCTCTCTCTTTTTTTTTTTCCTTGTTTCTCTCCCTAAGATGATGCAAAGGCTCGCCCTCGGGCCCGCGCCCGGGCAGCTGCGGCCACCCCGGCCCGGGCAGACCCACGACGGGGCGACCGGCCACCGAGAGCGGCCCGGAGCCTCCACGGCCGCCGGTGTCTCCGCCGCGTGTGTATTTTCTGCCTTTTGGACTTGAGATGCAAATACAAAAAGGAGGGGGGCGCACGGCGGAGGGAAGCAGGCGGGAGAGCGGAGCGCGAGAAAAATAAAGGGGGGAGGTGAGGGTGATGAAATTGGGGGGTTAAGATCTTCAGGGATTACTCATTTGAAAGAAAAAAAAAAGGGGAGAGAGAGAGAGAGAAAAGCAGCCCCAAGACGCGCGAGTAGCAATCTCTCCTCCATTCAGCCATTTGAATGTCAAGGGCGAGGGTCAAGGGACCTGTTTCCAACAGGGTTTCACGTTCAGAACCAGAAGGAAAAAGGAAGGGGGGGCGGCGGGAGGGGGCATCTCGTGTTGCCAAGGAGAAATCGGCTTTGTTTTCGTTTCCCCTTAGCTACTGGGTGAGGAGGGGCGGGGTGGGGGAGAGGAGGAGGGGGCGAGCGGGAGAGGGGAGAGGAGAAAATTAATACCCAAACAGCCAAGAAGTACCGAGGGGGAGATTTCTTCGCGTAAATAAAAGAGGCAGCGATTGCAAACAAGTCTGGGGCAGGGGAAGCAGGCCGAGGAGCCGGCTCCCCTCCCCCTCTCGCCACCCCCCCACCTTTTTCTTTCTTTCTTTTTCTTTCTTTTTTTTTTTTTTTTTTTTTTTTTTTTTTTTTTTTTTTTTTTTTTTTTTTTTTTTTTTTTTTTTTTTTTTGGTGGTTATCTCCCCGGGCCGGCGTCCCACGACTGACTCAGAGCAGGGGTGGGGGAAGGAGGAGGAGGAACTCGCGGGGGCTCGGGCGTCCGGACAGGAGGAGCTGGAAGGCGAGAGCGCGCGGCGGCGGAGAGCCCCTCGATCAATTTTCATGCAAGAATCATTATCGGTAAATTGGAACGCTAGCTGCCTGACAGCAGATTTGTCTCCCCTAATGAACGCGAAAGGGTAGGGGCGCAGGGCGGGCGGCTCCTTCCGTCTCTACGCGGCATCTTCCGAGCTCCATGCTTTGCAGGGCGATCATCACAGTTTCACTTGCGAGCTTCCCCCGGCGCGGCGGCCGCTCCGTGCGGGCCGGGACCGGGGCGCGGGGGGCCGGGCTGCCCTCTCCCCGCGCGCGTGGCCGGCGGCGGGGCGCCCCGCTCTGCCCCAGAGCGCGGCCGTTTGCAAACAGGGGGCGGCTGCGGGCGCCGCCGGGCCCCCCTCGGCCGCCCATCTCCGCGCTCTGGCCGCCCGCCCGCCTTCCCTCCCCACCCACGGCTGACAGCTGCGGGAGCCGGGGCTCACCCGCCGCCGGGGCCTGGGAGGAGAATCCCCAAACCGTGCCCGGTGGGGGGCGGGGGACCCGGGCTCCGGCCCGCCTTTTGTGACCCCACGCGGGACTGCGGAACGCACGCGCCGCCCAGCCCGGGGTGAGCTCCGTTCTCTCCTCGCCCTGCCTCGCACCCCGCACCCCACCCTTAAAAAAATCCCTGTTGCAAGTGTAATCAAATGCTTGATACCATCGTCCACACCCTCTCTGCACTGGTGCATTATCAGATCCGGGAAGGCCTGCTTCCAGGCAAATAGACCTAATAAATGCTATTACTGGGATTCTGCAAGCCCCGGCAGCACCATAGTAACAGAGCCCTGGCTAATTTGGTTTAAGAGAACGATCAACTGCACGGAGTGTGTGTGAGTGAGTGTGGAGTCTGTATCTCTCCTCCCCACGCCGCCTCTCTTTCACACCAGCTCAAGAAGGCCCCATGTGATAATTCCCCAAATCGAAGGGGAAAAAACCCTGCCGCCAAACCACATCCTGTGCGCTCATTGTCCAGCCCAGCGATTTTAAAGAGACAGGCTCCATTTACCCACGCCCCCGCACGCTCTCGAACACGCGCTGCAAGGCCGCCTCTGGATGTGACAGTTCATTTTCAAGCCCTTTTACCTGCTCAAGGGCCCCCTCAGTGGCACAACCAGCCGGAATCGCGACTTGGTGACCCTAAGGGGTCACCTTTTGACCCCCAATACGAGCATCCTGGTTTGAGGAACAGACCTGCGCCCGCAGGTAACGCAGAGCGGGGCGCCGCGGTCACGCCACGCTGGGGTTCCTGCCAACGCTTTCCAGCCACTGCGTAAATCAGGGGTCCCCCGCGGCCGCCCCGGGGTCCCTTCTAAACGCGGTGGCTTCGGATGACAATTGAACTCCCGGAATAGGATACTCTAGGGGAAAGCTCCGGAGGGCAAATCGGAGGAGGTGGGGGCACCAGGCGTGCCTCCTGACCCCTCGATGCCACTCGCCTCCCCCCTCCCCCCCCCCCCCCCCCGCGCAACACCCACCCCTCCCGGAGGATCTTTAATGGGCGGGGCGGAGCGCACGGAGCCGAGGGAGAGGTGGCGCTCCGCCCCGCCGCCACCAACGGCTGGGTGGGTGCCGCACGCAGGCGGCTGCCTCCTCCGCCGGCAGGGCGGCCGGGGGTGCGACGGGCATCTTTTAATCCCCCAGCCCCCGCTGCGCCCCGCCCGGCGCCTCCCCCCCGCGGGCGGCCGAGCGCGCGCGCGGTCACCCGGGAGGGCGCCGGGGCTGCTGACCTGGAGGAACCGGGCGGCGCGGGGCCGCCGGCGCCCGCCGCCGACATCTGGCCGCTCCGCCCCGCGCTGACCCCGGAGGTCGCGCCCGGTCCTCGGCGGCGGCGGCCCTTTGTTTCCGGGGCTGCGTGGCGGCGCGCTCGGCGCTCCCCGCGCCTCCCCCTGCGCCCGCCGCCTCTGGCGGCCTGGCGAGGGAGACAGCGGCCCCGCGGCGGGGTCGAGGTCCAGCACCTGCGCGTCCCCCCACCGCCCACCTCCGGCTCGGCCTGGGCCGGGACCCCAGCTCTCGCTTCCCACCCACTTCCCACCCACTTAACACCCGCACACTTGACAGTCCGCGCCGCTCTGGGAGTGGGGGCGGGGGGACCAGGACACGCAGGGGAGGCTCGGGCAGCTGCTTGGAAAATCTCCGGGCCTGCTTTGGGGGACAAAAATTTTTTTTTTTACTCTTTTTAAAAGACCCTAAACTATCAGGTCCTGTTGTCATTCTTTTATTGGTTTTTTAATTCTCCAGGATTACACGAACAACAGTAGTAATTAATACTAAACCTTCCTCTACTGTACATGCTAATGGCAGGAGCCATAAAAATTAATTTGCAAACATGTCATTACACAATAGCTGTACAGGCAATAAACCTGTAATTATGGGCCAATCACAGGCAGGGTACAGAGGGAGGGGTGTTCCCCCAATCTGTTGGGTGCCCCCCTTCCCCTGCGAAAGTGGGGAAGATGGTGCCAGAAAGGAGTTTGCCTTCCCAGAGCCACCTGTGGAGAACGCTGCGGACGCAGGGGATGCCAAAGGGGTCTCTGGTCTCCAGCTCTGACGGGCCTGGTTTCTAGAGGAGACCCCTTGGACACTGCCACTCGGAGGCCCTCCAGGATTAAAATATGGCGGGAGTCCCGCGAAACAGAGCCTTGGGGGCGCTGCCGAGCAGGCGGGCCGCTGTGGGGTGAGCAGTGAGAAGGGTAGGAGGCCCCACACTGGTGGGCCAGCACCGGGCCTCTCTGAGGAAGGCAAAACATCTAGCCCTAGAAGCATCTGAATGCCTGCATTGAATTATCTCCGAACGCGCTGGCCAACCCCTAATTGCCTTTGGCCACGCCCGCCAGGGAAGGAGGTGAGCCGCCAGAGTCCGGTGATCCTAAAACTCCTTTTGGCCCGGGTCTGGGCGGCTCAGAGTAGGCTGGTGACATTTCCTGGTGACAGGGACGTCTGTGCGGGAGGAGAAGGCGAGATCCACTAGGAGAGGGTGTGGCTGCACCGCAGCTCCTGACCTGAAGCCAAAAGAGCTGAAAAATAGAAAGCGCAGCCCCCGCGGTGCCAAGCAGCCGGCTTCGCGGGCGGACTCTCTGCTGAATGGCCGGGTTGTTTGCCACAATGTGGCTGAACGAGGGGCTGGAGGCATTTTCCCTTTCCCACTGGCCTTTGTGGCTCGGCTGCGGTTTTTGGAACTCCTCGCTCCGGCCGCTGATTCCCAGAGGAGCCACCCGGCCTCCGAGGGCCGAGATGGCCTGGCGGGAGGGGAGGGTGGGGTGGTTGGCAAGAAGGGCTGCCAGGCTGGGCCACACCTGGACTAGGTGCACTGGGCAGAGCCTCATCAGGACTCTGTGCAGGGACAGGACCTCTCTTGCCGCCGCCCTCCCCCCCCCCTTGGAGGCTGACCTTGGCAATGACCCTCCCCCTCTCTGTCATCTCCTCTCTGGGGAAAAGGAGGGCATTTCTAGAAAACAGGCCGGAAGTGGGGCAGGTTGAGCCTCCCGTGCCCCTTCTGACGGTTGGGACCACCGCATGGCAGCCTCCTCCCCACCGCCTTCCCCTGCCCACGCCATAAGCCAGCCCGGGGTCAGAGGGCATGCTGGGCCTTGTCCTGGCTGGGCGGAAGGAAAAGAAGACTGCTACGTCTCTCAAGGGGAAAGCAAGCAGGGGCGGGGGAGGGGGACCTTGAGGCCGCGTGGCGCCCACTAGACACCCACTCAGAAGATGCAAGCCCCCCTCCCGCCCCTCCTCTGCTGCTCCTTCAAAATGGAGGGGGGCCAGACTCCCCCTAGCGGGGCTTCCGATGCCACAGCGTGGAGACAGCCCAGCCAGCCAAGAGCGTCAGCTGAACCGAATAAAAATAGCCGCCCCACACGTGCTGAGCACACTGAGGCTGCAGCCCGGGTCTGGGGAGCACGGTGGGGCGGGCGGCCCCCAGGGCCTGCTGCCTTTGGGCCCCCGTGGGCACTCAGCGGCCGGCTGGGACAGGCCCGGAGGCGCTCACCGGGGATCCCAGGAAAGGGAGCAAGGGAAGGCTGGGAGGGTGGCCGACCCCGACCGCCACCTCGGGCCCGCCCCCTCCACTTCCCCCTCTGGGATAATCACGCCCGCTGACGTTTCCGGAGTTGCTGTGCGAGCACTTTTCACAGGGAACTCGTTGGATCCTCACCACAATGCTGTTCAAGGTCACCGCGGGGAGTTTCGTTTTCTAGCCGAGGCACAGAGGGGTCAAGGGCCTCGCCCAAGGACACGCGGCCAGTCAACGGGAGAGCTGGGCTGAGCTCCTTGCGCAGTCCGCGTTCCTGACCG